TGGCGTCCGACCATCCTAGCCCGACATGTACATTCATGTAAGATCTCGAGCATACACATACCTTGTCCTTGGCGTCAATGACAGCGCCCTTGTCGAGCAAAAGGCGGGCAGTCTCCACGTGACCATTCTCAGCAGCAACGTGCAGTGGCGTTCCATCATGCTACGCCAGTGCAAAGTGTCATCACTGTCAAGATCCACCGTACCTCGCCCTTGGCGTTGACGCTGTGGCCTTCGTACAGACGGAATCGCACGGCATCCGCGTCACCGTCTCTTGCAGCCAAGAAAAGTCTTTGCTACATCCGCGTCCATGAGTCCTTTGTCGACTCTGCTACAGCAACGGTACCGGCGACAAAGGGTCGGCTCGGGTCCAGAGAAGAAGTAGGTATAAATTGTACAACAGTGCTCCCAGCAGGTACGAAGTCCCCATGTAGAGCTGGTACCCGACACCAAGCATCACGAGGAAGAGCTGGTACACGACCCAAAGCATCACGAGGAAGAGTTTGTACACGACCCAAAGCGCGATCGCAAAGAGTAGCAAAGCTGCAGCGTACAACACATACGTGAAACATGCATACATCGACATGGAGGCCACAAGTAGCAGCGCTGCCAAGGGCTACGCAGATCGTACGTGGTGACGTCCGGTGGTATATTCACATAACGTTGTACCTCATTGTTGTTTTCCTTGGAGGAGAGAAGCAAGGCGACGTGGAAATGAAGCTCACTTTTTGCAAGCGCGAGTGGCGTCTCGTCATTCTACAAGAGACAAAATATGTCGTTCATCAAATTTTGAGAATGGGACACATTGTTCGGATTCGGTTCCAGTGACATACCCCATTTTTTGCTGTGACGTCCGCGCCCTTTTCGAGCAAAAGGCGTACGACATCCAAGGAACCATACCGAGCAGCAACGTGCAATGGTGTGTCACCACGCTACGCCAACACACAGAATATACGCATGAGCCAACGCAATAGTTACGTCGTTTTTGGCGGCGATGGCAGCGCCCTTCTCGAGCAACAGGTCGGCGGCGTCATATTGGCCTGTAGAAGGAGCAACGTGCAATGGCGTGTCACCACGCTACGCCAACACACAGAATACGCAGGTGAGCGAGGCAGCACATACCTTGGTTTTGGCGGCGATGGCAGCGCCCTTTTCGAGCAACAGGCGTACGACGGCCAAGTGACCATGCAGAGCAGCAACGTGCAATGGTGTTTCACCATCCTACGCCAACACACAGAATATACGCAGGAGCTAACGCAATAGTTACGTCGTTTTTGGCGGCGATGGCAGCGCCCCTCGTGAGCAACAGGCCGACGGCGCCATATTGGCCTTGAGAAGCAGCAACGTGCAATGGCGTCCAACGCGTCTACGTCGACAATGTGTAGGGTCATATATCGCGCGCAACTTCCGACGTACGTTGCTCGTGCAGTTGACGTCGGCGCCGTCGTCGAGACAGGATCGGATAACATCCAACTTGCCATCTCTCGCAGCGTCGCAAAGGCTTCCCTACAGCCACATAGATCAGTCGTCTCTTATCCTCGACGACCTCTTGCTTGGTCAGCGATGCCCCCATTTGCCAAGTGACAATCAATCTTGCGTTTCATTGGGTGGGCTGCAGGAAGAGGAAAAATCTATCATTTATTTTATCTCTATCGTTTAATTGAATAACGATCTTCTATCTTTTAATTGAACAACGACTTTTTGCGCAGCGATAGCACGGTCGGGCCAAATGAAGTCGCAACATGGTGTTCCGGCGGGGGCGAACCTTCCATACGTGTTGCATCCAAACAGAAGTCGCATCATCTGATTGGGCGAGAGGGACATATATGGGCCATAAATCGCTGCTTTCTATTGGTGGAACCTTAATAGTGTGACGCATGACGCAGGCAACGTGTCCAGCCGGGAAGCGCGCCGCGCTCTTGCTCACGTGCTCAGCGCGTCGCAGTCATCAGTTCCGACCAACCTGTGCTCGAATCTTGCATGATGATTGTGCAAAGCTTTATATATTGACTGATGAATACGATATATGACTATGGTAGCTTATAATGTGCTTTGCAGGCGTTGTGCATCTCGATCCTGCCGCCAACCACATCTTCTCGCACACGGCGGGTATGATTGCTTGCCTACCTTCGCGACGACAAGAAGAGGACACGTCCCGTCGCATGCCTTCTTGCACGCTCGGTCCAATCGGTACCACGTGTAGAGGCCGACTTCGCACGTGGCGGCCAACTTGTCGAGTTGTTGAGGGTGACTTGACGCCGGGGCATGTTCTTGTCATCGCGCTTGCGCTTCTTGCACCGAGTCGTCGGGGGAAGTACTTGTGTGTTGCAAGTAGTCGCGCGGTTTACTTCAACGTCGATGAGTTGACTTGACTGCATGTGAGCCACATCGCAGAGACCCAGATCCACAGAGCCTTGGTCTGGTGGACGCTGAGCGCGCTGTACAGCAGCAGTATCAAGCGCAGCCGGTTGGGAGCTGACAGTGGATGAAAAGCCCTTGCGCGCCGTTCGCATCGTTGTCAAGGCGTCGCGGATGCCGCCGAAAGAGGTGCGACTTGGATGCGAGACGACGGCGATCGCGCGGGGCGTACGGGCAGTACACCGTGTGCTGCCGGCGGATCCCGCAGAGGATGCAGACCGGAACTCCATTCGGTGCTACGACCCGAGTCTTCGGGCCCGGTCGATCCGCTCGGACTCGCGCTCGGACCTTGCGCGTGCGCTCTTCCATCTCTCTGTGGCTCTGAGGCACAGGAGACTCTCGCCAGGAAATTAGAAGTCGCGTCCAATGAATGTGCAGCAACCGGAAGTCTCCGCCAGTCATATTGAGTATATCATTTCTTAGCTATTTGATTGGTAAAAAAAGGCTCAGAGGGGTAGGTCTAGAGTTTGTCGGGTTGCAATTACTTGGTTCATACAAATTTTAAGTTTAATTTATGGATAAGGCCCTTGTCGTGCTACCAGCCACGAGAGCGCAGTGCTGGTGTGTACCAGCTAAAACACACAACGAGTGCCCGGTTTCCCAGTGGCTTCCTTCCTTCTCTTTTCTCTCGCGCCGTGTCCATAAAATTTTAGATTGCAACATTTATGGTGCATTCGCCCCGGCGGGAAGGGTCAAATTCGGTTAAGTACGAGTGGCAGGTCAATGTCGTATTGTTGACTTGGTGTTTGTAACAACGTTCCAAGTGCGAAAGCGTACTTACGCGAACTGTGCGGAAGCGCGGTTGGGACACATGCCATGCACGCAGCGCCAATCCCGAGCGTAGCGTGTGCACTTGCTCTAGTGCACGACAGCGCGGGACCTCATACTACGCGTGGTGTTAGATCAATGAGTTCGATCGCGATGTTAGAATCGTATCTGGATGTTACGTTCGCTTTGGAGGCTTCAATTGCACTTCGCGCCAAGCACAGAGCAGAAGATCCGATCATGGTGCGGACGCCAGCTTCTGGGGCCGAGCGCAAGTGCGAGCAGCAGAAGCGCCAAGCTGCACGCGCCCTGGCAACAGCGACTGCGATCGAGGAGGCCAAGGAGCTCAAGCGGAAGATCGCCGCGGGGCAGAGGCGACGGCAGCGAACCACGGCATCTCCAGGCGAAGCGCGCGCGTGCAGCGGCCGCGCCTGTCACAGTAGAATTGCTGGGCCTGTACCTCCGAGTAGCAATTCTTTAAACCACCTCATAAACGTTATACGCCCTGCAATGTTGATCATGCTGTTGTGGCCTCTATGCGTGAAGCGTCCTGCTATAGTATTGGACCCAGATGCCGAAATGATGCAAATGTTGAAGCGGCGAAGAAAGAGCTCTTCCCGGACGGCTCTAGCAATAACAACCCACATCGAAGCGAGATCGGGACAATGCGCCACCCCACCGCACAATGGAAAATGAAATTGACGATGACACTACTGAAGCCACATAAAGAATCCACCAGGTGCAGTGTCGTTTCCGGCAGAAGTCGGCAGCGGCCCGCTGGGCTCCGCAACGAAGCGGAGGTCGCGTCCGTCGCACGCGTCCATCACACACTCGCCATGTGAATGCGTGTTTGCAGCAAGAAGGGTGCGTTGGACGTGCATAGTACTGTAAGGGTGGACGGCATCCACACAGCTACGACATAGACATACCGCTAGGTTGCACGCGGCCCCGATACCAAACTGAAATCAAAAAGCGCGACAGCACCTGCACAAACCTTCGACACGGATCAAACCATTGCGCATGCTACACAGAAAGACCGCTAGATGGCCCACCGGCCCTATGCCCGACCTCAACCACAAAGACCAATCACACTCTGCCCCAAGAAAACCCGAGGTTTGGGGCAGGGTACGTTGAACTTCAATGCATATGATTCCGTCCACCGGCGAGTCCAAACTACGTCACACGTAGGACACGAACCCACCGCTAGATTGCACGCTACCCCAATGCAAAACCTCAACCAAAGAGCTCGACCAAAACCGGCCCCCACATGAGATTAACTCTAGTGTCAGTGTATGGGAACATGTG